TGCTTAAAGGTGGCGCCTTGATGCGGGTACGGACGTGCTGATCACGAAGCTGGAGCTATGGCACCTCAGGTAAGTCTCAGGTGAGTCCTCTGGCCTBTGCCACTCTCCTCTCCCTAGCGCTACCCTGAATCCTAGCAGCGCCCTGCGCTGGAAGACTACTCCTATCGTCGACTACAGCCGCAGCATCTCCTGAAGAGTGTCGCAACAAATGCCTGAAGACTGAATGCTGCCTCCTAGGCGGACCAGCTATATATCGTGCTGGTCCGGCTGGGGGGCTGCTCTCACCAACGCCGAACAGAGCCAGTCCCTGGCGCCCAAAAGTTTGGCGCCTAAGTTGGCACCCAAATTCGAATCTTCGAATTTGAAGCAGGGCCTCAAACGGCCTGGGCGCCTACTGGGCCTATACCGGGTCTGGCGCCAAAATGGCGCCAGGGCCTACCTATGGCCCACCGACCTACGGGGCCTACCTAGGCTGAAATGACACAGGCCTGGCGAGCCTCTACCTAAGCTGAACCGACACAAGGCCTGAAGGGCCCCTACCGAACTCCTGTCCTGCCCGATTGGGCCCTGCGGGGACCCTTGCGGTGCTCAGCATGCCACACACCCCCCCCTCCTTGAAAGACAAAGCTTACCTGCGAGGGCACAGCTGTCTGTCCGAGGGAGGGACCAAAGTCCAGGTGGGATGGGCAGGACGTGAAGCTTTCTTAGCTAGTCTTTGTCGTTCGTAGTGAGCGTAGATCAGTGGTCCGGATGCTTGCAAGTCTGCGCGTGAAATCCATCGGGTGTCGTCACCATCGCATGCTTTGAAGGCAACTTTGTATTGTCGGGGCTTGCTGCCGTACTTGCGATCAGTGATGACGCGGTCAACTTCCTGATGACCATCCATAGAAGGAGGGTCCTGCGATCGTCGGCCCGGAAAATCGTCGCTCTTAGCCGGTGTATATGTAGCCAGCTTGGAGGCGTGGAAAATCGGGTGGACCGGTAGATGTGGTGGAATGCCGACCACAAATGAGGGGCCATCGGGCTCATCACCCGCGGCTGATGTTACGGTCGAAGGTCCAAACCACTTGGGGAGTAGCTTGCAAGAGATGTCTTGCTCGAGCGCAAACTCTTCCGCGAAGACCGAAACCAGGTCGCCGGCGCGGATAGGACATGGTACGCGACGCTGATTGGCTTGCTGCTGCATGTGAACTTGAGCCTTTTGCATGTTCATGCAGGCTTTAGCCAGCAAGTCCCGATACTTCCGAACGAAGGCGGGAGAGCAAGGGGCGTCAAAGTCGGCAATCCGTGGGAGTAGGAGATCAGCGAAGATAAGACCTTTCCGACCACCATGGTGCAACTCGAAGGGAGTCACGCCGATCGTCGGATGCAACGAAGTGTTGTAGGTGAACTCGATGTTGGGGAGGCGGTCAACCCAATCCTTCTGGTCCGGACGGATGAGCGTTCAAAGCATCATTTGCGCGGTTTGATGTGCCCGCTCCGTTTGCCCGTCCGTTTGTGGATGTCGACCCAAACTCAGTTTCATTTCGGTGTCGGATTCATGCATGAGCAAAGTCCAAAATGCCGACATGAAACGAGTGTCGCGGTCGCTAACGATGTTTTCCAAAACGCCGTGACTGCGAATCCAGCCAGTGTGCAAGAGGCGCCCAAGCTCGGGAGTTGTGGCGTAGTACTTGCAAGGAAGAAATCAAGCATATTTACTCGATCGGTCAACGACCGTGAGGATGTCATCGTACCCGAGGCCGTCGCGGGGAAACAGGTCCGTGACGTCCATAGCAATGGAGAGGCCGGGTTCCCGTGGGATGGCCAACGGGCGCAACTCGCCGTAGGAAAAGCGATTGCAGGGTTTGCTTCGTAGGCAAACTTCACAAGAGTCGCAATACCTAGTGACGTCGGTAATGAGGTCGAACCACCGGGATCGTTGTCGAAGTCTTGCAATTGTTCGGTTGACTCCAGAGTGTTCGGCGAGTCGCAAGTCGTGGTACTCGCCGAGAAGGCCAGTCCGGAGGCGGCAATCTTGAGGGACGCATAGTAAAACCTCGCCTCGCGAGTGGAGAAGCAAGTACCCGTCGACAACGCGATAGTGTTCGGTCGGCGGGTGATCCGATGATAGTTACGGATATAGCGTGGTGTAATCCGGATCGAACTGGTAGCCCAGGATGAAATGTCGTTGGAGTTCCTTGTCGAACGCGAAGGCATGATGTGTCATGGCGCAAAGATCAAGTCGGGAGAGTGCATCGGCTACACGACTGGAGAGGTCGGCGAGATGTTTCGGTGTGAAGTCGAATTGGTCGATGAAGTACATCCATCGTCCGATAGTGCTGCTCATCGTGTCTTGCGTCTTGTAGTAGGTCAACATGTTGTTGCCGGTGACCCATGTGAACCTACAAGGAGGAAGCGCAACCATTGCTTGAGAGCCGTCATAAACACGAGCAGCTCCTTCTTCCTTGCGACATCAAGCGAGTTGATGGGAGGCACCTTGTGGCTGAAATACTCCACAGGGTGCCAGTCGTCGCCGTCTTGTTCCAAGACTGCACCAATGCCATAGTCAAAAGCGCTGGTTGTCACTCTCGTTGACAAAGTGGGGTCGTAGATGCTAAGGACGAGTACCATCAGCATGGTCGTCTGCTTGGAACGACCGGCGTGCTTCGTCGTCGAATACGAATGGCACCTTTGGCAATTGTAATCTCGTCAATGGCGCAGCAATCCTCGAGTACCCGTGATGAAACGTTGGTAGTATCCCGCCAAACCCATGAATGAGCTAACGTGCGTGGTATTGGTGGGCTCGGGCCAAACCCGTACGGCCTCAATCTTATCCACGAGCGGGCGGATGCCCTGCAGCGTCACAAAATGGCCCAAGTACTCAAGCTCTTGCCGCACGAATTGGCATTTGTGCTTGGCTTGTCGTTACCGCTCCAAGACGGTTCGTAGGTGGTCCACATGCTCGTCCAGGCTCCGGCTGTACACCAAGATATCGTCGAGGTAGATGAGCATGAACCTGTCCAGCATGTGGCGAGACTCTGTTGTCATTCCCGCTTGGAATGTGGCCGCGACATTTGTAAGGCCAAAACGCATAACCAGCCATTCGAAATGCCCATATCGCGTCTTAAACGCGGTCTTGCAGCGATCCTCCCGCCGGATCTCAATTTGGTGATATCCCAATTTGAGGTCGAGGTTGGAGAAGAATTGGGCGTCGCCCAGCCGTTCGAGAAGGTCGTCGATTCGCGGAAGAGGGCCGGCGTTCTTGACGGTTTGTGTGTTGAGCTTGTGATAGTCAATGCACAGCCGCAAGTCCTTGTTCTTCTTCCGAACGGTGCAGGGCGAAGAGCTAGGCCAAATCCAGGCTTTCTCAAAAAGGTCGTCAAGTTGTGCCCGTAGCACACTTAACTCTTCCTCGATCATGCGGTAGATGCAACCACGCGGAGGTGCGGCCCCAGCCTCTAGGATAATATCGTGGTGGATTGGCCGGTCCGGTAGTACTCTATGCAGGGTATCAAAAACATCGCCGTAGGCGTCGAGAAACTCAGTGATGCATGCGTGTGTCGATGCGTCCGTTGATGGTTTGTCATAAAGAGGAAGGGCGTGGAGAAAACAAAAGCCCATCTCCTCGACGTTGTCCCGTATATGGAAGCGCAAATGCTTGCGGCAGACACTACGTGACAACTGATCGAAGGGTGAGGTAGAGGAACCGTGCATGGGACTAGTACCCCGTTCTGATCATGAATGTGAACGGTGCGGTGGTAGAAGTTCACCGGGTGATCCTCGCTTTGCAGCCACGACATGCCCAAAATCATGTCGAACTTGGTGTCGAATATGTCGAAGGACAAGGCCTCGCTTGTGTGCGGGGCGAAGTACATGGGGACGGAATCAACGCACTGGTCGATTGACTTGTGTGTGTGACCGTCGCCCAACATGACTTGATTGGGCTGCGACTTCCTCCGAATTCGTGGCCCAAGGCCAGCGTGTACCACGAAATCTTGGCTCATATAGTTCCGAGTCACTCCGCAATCGATCAAAGCACTGTAGGTCGCTTCTCCGATCTGAATGCGTCAGTACAGCAATGGCGCGTCGTTGTTGCCGTACCGTTATGTCTTAAACTCGCGGCCGATCTTCGCAAGGTAGTCACGAAGGTCAACAACCCCTACTCCGGCGTCCATCAATGAAGTTGGTATTGCAGTGTGCAAGTAATCTCGCAATTGTGCCATGAGCGCGTTGCAATGCGGTTTCGACAATCGACCGGTCGGGGGAAGGGGCATCCATTGGAAGTCCGCGAATGTCAACGGGTCGAGTTTCTCAAGTCTTGACCATGACGTCGAATGCCTGGCGAAATTTGGCGGTGAAGCTGCCGAATCGGTTGCCGATGTATGTATTATATAATATATTATAGTTATATTCTACAATATATCCTATTTATATTCTAGATATCCTATCTATATTCTATCAAATCTATACGATATGAAACCGTGCATGCGGTGGAGTCTTGCATGTGGAGTGGCTGGTCCAAGGGTGGGACCAAGTGGACAGCGTAATCCTCGTAAGTGGACCGAGGACTTGCGACATCCGCATTCTCCCCAGATGTGTAGGAGGCCGCTAGCAAGGCGGCTGACTCTAGCGGAGTGAGAGGTGGAGTCGCCTCACCTCCTGTGCGGCTCAGTTTCCGTAACTGGTTCGAGGTCGAACATCCTCCTTGCCTCGATCTTGGCATTGGGAGGTCTTGTGCTTGGTGTTGTTACACCAATAGCAGCAGCCATACCGGCTGCACCACTTCTATTTGACCTCGGTCAAGCTAAGCTTGACCCATGGTTCTGGCTGTCCGTTTCCGGCCGGCAATGCTCGTTTTGCCTTCCCTTTTCCACAGGATTTCTTGTTGGTTTGCGGCTGGACGACGGCCACCTGATCGCCCTCACATGATGCCGGGGTGGCTGTCGGGTCTTCCACAAGGTTGTCCGATTGGACTGCAGCGACGGGTTGTGGACGTGGACCAAATTTTCCTTTCTCCACATAGGCTGGCTGTGATGCGGATTTCTCGTGTGCAGCAGCCCGATTGGTCTTGATGATCTCACGAGCCTTGTCGATAATTTCGGCGAAGGTCGTGTACTTTTCGTGATCACCGAGAGCGAGGCTCAAGGTGGCACAGGACCGGTTGTAGAACTCGCGGCGCAGATGCGAAAATGGGAGTCAAGATGAGGTGTTGCCTCGATTTTCTGCCATTCCGTGAGCCAATAGCATGTCATTGTGTTGCCTTCGGACATGGCGAAGAGGCGGTTGATGGCGAGCGTCGGAGCGTCGTCAACGATAAACCGCTTCTTCCATTCCTTCGTCAGATCTTCCCATGAGATCTTGGTGTGAAGGTCAGCGGGTCTCCGTTGCAAAGGACTGCCACCAGATGACTGGATCCTGCTCGTATAGTCGTCAAACTTCTCGATCCGGAACGTCGGCATCTTGTACTGTCGTGGTGCACCAATGTTGCCATCGGTGGCTAGCGGCTGTTGTAGCGGCCGAATCTCGATCTTCAAGGTGATGAGCCGCTCGCTGATGGTGGCTGGTGCAGCGAAAGTATTGATGTCCCCGATCATTGCGAGTATGTGGTCGAGTCGTTGCTCCAACTGGCACGCCGAGGCTGCATGGCTGGATTCACCAGCATTGGGTCTTGGTGTTGCTTGCTCCAAGTGTTGTACACAAGTATGGAGTGCTCATGTGGCATGCTCATACAGATCCTTGTGGTTCCTCACTGCCTGTCGGAGATTCTCCAGTTCCTGGTGCTGTTTCTCTACCTCGGACTGCAGTTGGTTACAAGTCTAAACCAACCGGGTCATGAGTTTGGAGAGAAACTTCGTGTGTTGCTCATCCGGTGTTGCATCGTCATGGCCCTCGGATGGTTCAAAGTTCGACGCTGCGGCTTCGTGCCGCTGCAGCAGGTTTTGCGCCTGCTTGCATCAGGCCTGGGCATCTACGTCAGCTGCGGCCTGAAGCCACTGCTTTTCAGCTGCTGCCGTTGCTTCAGCCTGTCGGCGGGCAGCCTCGGCTTCTGCTTAGCGTTGTTCCTCAGCCTTGATATGCGGGAGCTGATCTTGGATTGGCTTGCAGAAATCGGCAATAGACTCACCGGCGAGTTGGTCAAGCATGCCCAAAACCAAAGCCGACATGGTGACGGGGCACTGCTGACATGGGACTGTTGTTGTGGCACTACTGATGTGGCTCCACTGATGTGGCACTTACCAAACCGGGAAAGCAAGCAAACTGCATTTTCCATTCCCGGTCCTAATCAACAGAAAATAAATAAAAGAAAGAGAAGTGCAAGGAAAATGAGCGATAGCAAACTTCAGAAATCAAACAGCATCATACACATGAGACCAGATAGTCGTGACCTCGAACCAATAGCAGAATTGCATCACGAGTTCCGCCAAATAAGAACACAGCAAAAGCTCATAATTGACAATGCTGGAATAGTCTCATCATCATCAACGAAGAACCAATGTCGATATCCTATCTAGCGCTCGGCGCCCAGACTACAGATGGCAGATCCTATCTAGCCTAATCTACAATGTCGCCGATGACATCAACAGCTACCCCAAAGTACGAGCAGATATCGACCAATGTCGTACGCTTCAAGCACCAAGTATGTCTCTCGTACTCACAACCCCGCTCCTCAACTCACAGATGCCACATGCACCCAAGGACCACCGTGCGCCCCATCCAGCATACAACAGCGCAGCTCGGCTATGGCGGCCTGCTCCTTCCAGCTCGCCCGTGAGGGCGTGAGCGCTGGCCAGCGTTAGCGCAACATGCAGCCACTGCCCGAATGCGGAATGCGTGTGCAGGCCCTTTCCTAAATGGAAGTGGCCTGCCAGCCTTGCGTGCAACCTGGCTGCGCTGGGCCCCTGCCCAGAAACTTCCGGTAGGCCTAGAGAGGTTGAGCCCCAGACCAAATGGATCAGGCCCAAGGCCTGTGACAGTTACCCGTGCCCAACTGCCCGCAGCCTGAGTTGGGTCCATGCTGCGTACTTCGCCCAGGGCCGGACTCGGATGCATTTGATAAAGGAGGCCAGGGCCTGGGCGCTTTCAACCAATTGGCGTTGCGCAACTGCCTAAATTTTCCCCCTGTGGCGAAGTAGTCCAAAATAGGCCTCTTGTCGTTTGTCGAGCTGCCTTCACTTAGGGCGGCCAACGATGTTGCAAATAGGGGCCCAATAGGGCTTATCGAGGCCTTGTGCCTCTCATTCCCTCCTCCATACTTCGCTAGTCCTCTGGGAAGTTCATTCAATCTGGCGCTTTCCTGTCTGCAACAACTTCTCGTAGTGGGCGACAACCTGTGGAGCGGTCTGCATTAGTTCCTCTCGAGTGAACTATCTATCCTCCTTTGGATCAGTATGGTGTCTGACTTGAACGCGGTACTGTAGCTTCGGCTTCGGAGGACGTCCCTTGCCTTCAGGTCTTGGAACCGACATTTCCCTATGGTCCACAATCTCATCTATGTCCACCTCTCCATCCATGGTTGGGGGCAACATTGATCGCCGCGAGGCAAACTGGTCAGTTTCCTTGAATGGTGCAAGCTTGGAGCCGTGAAAGACACGGTAGGCGCGAAGGTGACCAGGGATCTGAACTACATATGACGGACCATCCAGATCATCTCCAACTATATCTAGAACCTCCCAGGGTCCAAAGAACTGTGGCATGAGCTTGCGGGAGATCCCGTGCTCCTGTCCCAGTTCTGAAGACTTAACCTAGACCCTATCCCCTGTCTGGAATGTTGATGGGCGGCGGTGCTTGTTTTCTGATTCTATCATCGTCGCATGTGCCTTGTGCATCTGTTCCACCACCTATTGCATCAATGGTTCATATCGATAAGCAAATTCTAGTGTGCCAGGTGCAGCAGTTGGCTGGTTCTCGCGCAGTAGCAAGTCTAGGGGCAGTCTAGGCTTGAAAGTCAGTAGCAAACTGTTAGGGCTCACCCCAGTGGCGTTGTGCACAGCGTTGTTGTACAGGCTGGCGATGAGAGCAAGTTTCTCATCCCAGTCCACCTGATTGGGCTTGATATAGTGTCTCAACAGGTGTTGTACAGCGTGGTTTAACTTCTCTGCTTGCCCGTTTGCCTCGGGATGGTTTCCAAATGTCATCTGCAGCTGCGGCCTTCCACAGCTCACTCGTGAATCTAACATCCCGGTCGCTCACAACAGACTTTGGCAAGCAAAAACCTCTGACTTAGTTCTCCTTAAACAGCCTTATGACGTACTCGGTCTTCGTTGTCTCTCGCATAGCAACTAACCTAGCGTACTCACTAAACCTATCCACGATAACGAAGATGTGTCTCATTCCACTCTTACTGGTGACCAGTGTGTCCACGAAGTCCATGGACAGACTCTCATCGAGCCTTTCCGAAATCGGAAGGGGCTTGAGAAGCCCAAGAGGGGTCTGTGTACGTGGCTTGTCTCTCTGACAGCCCTGACAAGTCTCCACGTACAACTTGGCATCTCTCATCATCGTGGGCCACCAGAAATGCTGCAGCAGATTGGCTGCAGTCTTCTTGTATCCAAAATGTCATGTGGCGTCATGACACTCACCTAAGAATAAACTACGCAAAGACTCCTGATTAGGCACACAGAAACGTTTATTCCCGACCTTCTCAAGGAACAGCAAGCCGTTGACCAACTCAAACTTGACATAAGTCACTTTGTCCTTCGCCTCGAGTCTGTGAATGATCTCAAACAAAACGGATCCTCGCGATAGGCTTCCACCATAGAAGGAGTGACATCGTCCGCAAGCCCGAACTCAGTAATCAGCGCACCAAAGAAATCAGGCCTACGTGATAAGGCATCAACAACTTTATTGTACTCCCCCTTCAGATATTGGGGTTCGAAGTCATATTGCTCAATGACTTCGATCCAGCGCTTCAAGGCATCAGAAAGTACTGACTGGGTTCTCATCCACTTGAGGGTCTGATGATCAGTCCTGACAATGAAGAACCTCCCAAGCAGGTAATCTCTCCAATGGGTCAGTGCCAACTTCTGAGACGGCATCTTTTTGAAAATGTACTCGACTGGCCTCAACTTTGGCCCCTCCTGATGCGCTACCACGGCACCAATGCCATATTGGCTGGCATCCGTGGTTATTATGAACGGCTTGTCAGGATCAAGAAGTTTCAAGATCTCATGATGCGTCAACGCATGCTTCAAATGTCTGAAAGCAGCCTCACATCTCTCCCACTCCCATGGGGTGCCAAGGCGAGTCAGGTCAATCAAAGGGGCGGCCACTATGACAAGTTCTTCACAAAATTGCGATAGTAGCCGGTCATCCCTAAGAAAGACCTCATCTCAGTCACAGACTGAGGACGCGGCCAGTCACGAATGCTGGCCACCTTCGCGTCATCGGGCTTCAAACCTCCGCGGAAATCTCATGACCTAAGTACAAGAGTCGGGTGCGACCAAACTCGCATTTCTCCTTGTTGATCTTGAACTTGTGCTGCCAAAGGAGACTAAGGACTTCGTCTAAGTGCGCAACATGCTTCTCGACAGTCCTACTAAAAATAAGTATATCATCGAGGTACACGATGACAAACTTATCCAAGTAGTCATGAAAGATCCGATTCATAGCGTGTTGAAAGGTGCCAGGAGCATTGCAGAGGTCGAAAGGCATCACCACAAACTCGTATAAACCGTACCTGGTCTGAAATGTGTTTTTTTGTTGATCCTCGGGCCGAATTGCAATCAGATGGTAACCGGACTTCAACTCTATCCTACTGAAGTATCGGCACCCTTGCACTCGGTCCAACAAGTCATCGATGCGGGGTAGGGGCTCTCGATTCTTAACAATGATGGCATAGAGGCCCCTATAGTCAATGCACATCCTCAAAGTTCCCCCCTTCTTTGGTACAAATAAGACTCGAGACCAGTAAGGGGAGACACTCGGCCGAATCCAACCCTTCTCTATGAGTTCCTTGAGCTGGCGGCGAAGTTCATCTAGCTCGCCTGGAGACATCTAATAGATCCTACCCTTCGGAATACTAGGCCCTGGGATAATCTCTATCGCATGGACGACCTCCCTCTCGACAACCCCTTTCGGCTCTTCAAATAGATGAGGGTATTTAGCAACTACTCCCTCTATCTCCGACGACATTTTCACCGGCTCGCCTGCTGCAGAGACATAGACTAGATGCATACCCTGCTCCCGATTTTGCTTATAATAGTTAAGTTACAGAACGCGGCCGCACACATGCATCTGTAGGACTCGATTAGACTACTAGCTTTGAACTCACATAATTTGGCGGTCCCCCCACTTGGCAATGTGTTTGAGCACTTTTCAGTCCCAGTCAAACTAGGGCTGTGCAACGGAGAGGTAGTACATACCTAACAAGATATCCAAAGGGAGATCATCGCTCACTAGGAACGAGAAGCGATGTCTCAATTCCCCTCCCACGTATGAGAAACAACACTCAACGTTTTGTAGGTAGTCATGGACTACCATGCGCTGTTTGTTGGCACAGGTCAACTCCATAGGTCGACTCAGGCGTTGCACTTGCCCCTGTAAGCGCAGCCTCTCAACGCACGCGTGACTAATGAAGTTCCTAATCGAGCAAGTGTCATAATAGGCCTCGACCTTACAGTCGTCGATGACTACCTCGTC